GAAAAGGAAACCATAACCTACATCAACATCACGACTGCCTGCATATAGCAATAAACTGAGAGTAAAAGCAGAGCTCACTGGTTGCTGACACTCAAAGAAATACTGGTCACCAGCATTAAGTTTCCGCCTTGTTGAATAAACTGAGGTCACAACTGAGATTACTAACTCAGAATACAACACTCCTGAGGGAGGCCACCCGGGGTGGTTGAAACGTAGAGTATTACAACTTCCTCATAACGTTGTGTTATTCGCAATCCATTTATCAACGTGTGTGGCACCTTCTAGATGGAACGGGACGAGAGTGTTTGAGTGACAGCAAAATTCCTCCTCGACAGGATAAGCCAGATTCAGCCAATATCAACTATTATCGCTACCCAGTTCATCAAGCGACAAGCAAAAAGTCATTATTTTCATGAGTTTGTTTTACACGATACACGATTCACATGTTTGACATTACTAAATTGATTTTAAGTTGAACATCACCCAAAATTGATCGCAGCTGTTGATTACTAGATTACAATGAAACCTGATTTGTGAATGATACTAAAAATGAGGTTTTAAGTTTTGTCGATCATACTAACTAACTTAGATTATTTCGCCTCCCGACTTCTATGGAAAGAATCCTAAGGAATTTGTGATAAAGGCTTCAAACTAACGTGCATTGAAAACGCATTTCTAAAAGCACTAGTGAGATAGACATTGCTCGGACTGACGAGTAACTCATCCACAAATCGGACCCGTCTTATTCGTAGAATAGTCTGCGGTTGGTAAATCACATAAACTTTGACCTATCTATAAATATCAGATGAAAAAACAACAACAGACTGTACGTTTTCACGTGAGCATGTTGGAAGTGAAGAATGAAAACTCGTCAGTTGTATTTCATTGAAGAATTTCTGTTAAAAGTATAAATGTTGTTTTCAACATCAGTTATTCATTTTGCAAATACCTAGTCGTCACATATTGACTGACTCTCACTTGACCCTAGAGACCTGTACGACTGTTTCATAGATATAATATTTGGACACTAACAACTGTACCGCTGTTTCTGCAGGTCAGCTACCGTCATCAAGTTCACTAACATCAGTTCACTTCAGTCTAACCTGTACCACGTGGGTATACACATAACAATACCACTCTGGACTCAACCACCCACGTATTTTTTGACTGATAAGAAGGTGACAATCAACTGTAGTTTATTGACCATAGTGACCAACCGCACTTTAGTACAACCACATTATAATATGGAATTACGTATTCCATAGTGTTCTTCGTTAAAACCTTCACGCATGTGGCATTTATGAAAATGTCCAGACTATATCCGTGCTTGAAGTTTGTTCCGTAGTTGGATGTGTTTTTTAAAAGTGGCACTGTTATAAGGCGATTAGTTGATTCGCACAGCTTACCGAAAGTGCAGTCTCCAGTGATTAGATCACATATGATATGCATGTTATCGCCGATCCATTGTAAAGCATTATAAATCAATCAAGTGAATGATAGCCTATTTATTACACGTTTGGGTCCTTATGTCAGAATCAAGATCACAGCACTGTCGCCTGATTAATACACCTCTAATGCAAACTGAACATCACCCACAATTGATCGCAGCTGTCGCATTCCCATAGACTTTCCAGTCGACCCCTTTCGAAAAAAAAGAACAAGCCCCG